GATTTAAGACAGTGCACGACTAGAAGATACCCTGAAAACAGCATAGATCAGTCAATACAAACATTCAAGCCTTCTTCTTAATATGCACGCAGCGTGTGTGCTTCTTCTTCCTTCAGAGCGATCATATGAGAAATTCTTTTCAACTTTTTTCTAACTTGGGTATTAATTGTCAGATTTATATGAAATTTCCAAGGCATAAATCAGAGCAACCAAATGTTTCTACACACCAAAGCCCGAAGACAATATTTCCAAAGCAAGGTTTATTTATGGGGGGCACCGGATAAGTCTATATTCTGGATCTGTATCTACAATACCAGAATGTACACACCCAATTGAATGTCTCTAGATCTTGTAGGTTTCGAGTGACGAGTTTTCCATCATTTTAATTAAACTAGATCTGTTCGTTCGCCAGGATGAGCTAGGTTGAAAATTCTAGGCCTTAAGCCCTTAGTCTCTGAGGACGAGGTATTCTTACATATGGACAGGCGGATAGCCATTCGGATATGGCTAGATCGACTGTTGCTGCTGCAGCTGATCAATAATACATATATGTACCTTATGGACTAAGAGATGCCTTCCTCTGCCTGTCATACATACATACACTTGCACAAGACCTTTTTACCCACTTCAAGCATTTTCAACGGATTCCGGGTCTAAAGCTGCTCAACTTTCCCTAGCGCTAAAGTGGCCTTAAGACTTTGCTTCAATCTAAAATGTCTACAAAGCGAAAAAAAATATTATTATTGAATATTTGTTACTTTTTTTTCTTTTTGCTGTAAACATAAACAAAACACGTAACCCGGCAGTCGCTTCGAGAGAAATATTTACACGATTACGTATGCCTGCAGGGCAAGTGGAGAGCAGGGGTGAGTGAGGGGCAGGGGTTGAGTGGGGATCAGAGGGGCAGGGGTTGAGTGGGGAGCTGGGCAGTGCAGGGCTAGAGAGCTCGAAATCATGTTTTCAAGTACTTTAAACCCGTAATGCAGCAGCAACTGGGATTTTTTACCATGCTTATACCCTAAGCAGGGGGTATTATAATTTTGTCACCAAGTATGTGACAGTGCAAAGAAAGAAAACCAGCGACAGCTTTAACTATATACATATATATTTGATCCGCAACAACAGAAGAGTCAATATAAATACGACCATTTGCTAGTCTGTCTGTTTCTATGCGAACTTCTCTTTTAGTTCCGACTTTCTCTAGCAGAATCGGGCTACTATAATATATATATATAATAGCTGCCATATGATCGCTCAGATGTAAATTAAGTTCTTGTATGCAAAACATTTCTGTCGTTTAAGATTCTTAACTCTACTTAGTTCAATCATGCAACACACATATGAGCCAGGTCTTATATATATCGAACTACTATATCATATATCAATTGATCAATCGTAACTTACGTTTCGAGATATCTTAACTCTACCAAGCTCTGTAATGCTAGTCCTATCTATATTCTACCAGCATATCATATAGCTCTCAGGGAAGAATCGTTTGAGAAATGAAGGTATAGAAAATAGTTCTCCTTTTATAAACATTCTCCCCAAACTCAGCAATTACGAGTCATAAACTTCTCCTTACATATATGCACAGCCGTCAGTCGTATATCCACAAGGGTATTCAAGCTTTTGCGTGCAATTCTTTCTTTTGTTTTTTGTGTGTGTAATGGTCGAAAACAATGAATCATAAGCACCCACACAATGTACAATTATAATTGTGTGTGTGTGTAGCTACACCCACTTAAGATTCGCGCAGAAAAAAAATAAGCACAGCTTCAACTAGTTGGCATACGAGTCGTATGAGTCGCATGTGGCAGAACGCCCACATTGCGCATACGCCAGGCTGTACGAGTACGGGTACGAGTACGAGTTCGAGTTGCAGATGCAGCAGACGTTGCAAGCAGCTGCACTTGGCAGCTAGCTAGCTGGTTGACTGGCTGCCAGACCTGTTGCCACATGCCGCCTGCCGCCTGCCGCCTGCTTTTTGTTGACTTTACTGATTTAGCGCACATGCGGCTCGTGAGGCGGTCTTCTGCTCGCTTTGCGCTGGCGAATGGCTGCCAACGCTTGAATACGCCAGGTAAATGTGTCGGAATTACGCAATGAACGCACATGAGCCGCAGCAGGCAAACAGGCAGACGAACGGACGAGCAGCCAACAGGTAACAATAATGAGCACACACAGCAAAGAGCCCGCAAATAGAGAGGCAGAGCAGAGAGAGAGAGAGAGGGAGAGGCAAGATACAACCAATATTGATGTTTATGTTGAGGATTTTTTTGGCTGGCCAGCGACACCTACAACAGCAGCAGCCGCAACAACTTCCAGCTCAAGAGTTGAAGAACTGCATTTCGTAACAAAACGATGCTTCCCAAAAATACAAAAAAAAATATATGCGCATTCATCGCCGAGTTTTTAGCACCGAGAGATTTAAACGCGCATACATTAAAAATAATCAAAATGCATTAAACTTTTGTTTAGTTCGGCTTTCGGCTTTCGGCTACAACCTGTTTATGTAAGCCAAACTTGTGGCTACCCAAAAATATGTGAGTGGGTAACACACACACACACACACATTCACACACACATTCACAATTCAAATCATAATAAGAGAAGAGCCCACAGTTCAGCTCATGAATAAACATGCATAAATTTATAATTTTAAACAGTTTTTGTACAATATACCCATTGATAAAAGACGAAGAGGGGTAGAATTGTTTACTGGAAATGTATGTAACAGGTAGTTGAAGGCATTCCTAAGCTTATCTTCACAAGCATCAAGAGTCGACCCAAAGTAAGCCAAGTCTGTCCGGCATTCTTTTGTACATATGCACTCGTAAGCTTGGCGAGTAAATACATTAAATTTAACAATTGCAGATGAAGTTTGTTTAAGAATTATCGATAACTCTATTACACATCGATAGCTACTATCGACAACTCGGTCAAAAATAGATACATTTCGATATCCAATCATTATACGACCAGACCACTCGCAGATTTAGTTTCAATTTATCTACAACTCTTGCAAAGATCTCTAAATGTCGAAATCCAGTCTCATATCAGTCGCAGATTAGTTTAAAAATGTTTAACTTTTTCAATAATCGATAGATATCGATATTCAATCTCATAACAATCGCAGTTTTAGTTTAAAAATGTCGATTAAACTAGGAAAAACCGATAAATATCGATATACAGTTTATTCACAAAGCTCTAAACGTAATCTTTCAGCCCGGAACCTTTAAGCACGAGATAAAAAACACAAATGTCAAGGAAGGGAAATTTGATAGTGCGGAGATATATGATATATCAGAGTTCGAACTTGGGCACAGGGTATGTCCAAGTGGGCTCCTTGCGATTGGCTCACTGGTAATTGTATTTATTTTTTGGGTTTTTACTTTAGTTGAGTGAAAATGCGGGCCTTGGCAAGTAGGCCTACCGCCGAGCTGGCCAAACACTCGAGCTGCCACAAAGACAATTGACAATTGACGCCCACACGCGGCGCAACCTAACGAATAATTGCTTAAAAAAATACTTGATAGAAATAACATTTAACGAGCGTCGTCGTATGTGAGCGCGCCACGGACAGAGTCTGGCTCTAAAGTTCACATGCAACAGACAGACGCAGCCACAGCTGTAGCCGCAAAGGAAAGGAAATGAAGGCTATTTGCGGCATGCCGAGCCCATCGAAGTAGACAATTTGTTATTGGGGCTATCGAGAGCAAAATCAACTACAAAACTAAGATTTTCGAACAGCCGGCTAGATAAAAGAGCCGATTGCAAGTACGTATATAGATATAGTTATATAAGAGATCAAAAGCTATTTTTAACGAGCTTTAATCGATATAAATATATTTTATCGATATAAATCGCTTGTGGCCTTAAGTTATATAAGAAAGTTATCGATAGATTCCCAAGAAACTCCTGAATCATCGTAAAAAGCATATGTTAGCTTCTGGGAAATCCGTAACCAGCTTGTGGCACAAATGAAACCTGCTCGGGCTAATAATATAGAGCGCAAAGTTTAAATCAGATTGAAAAATCGATTAATCGATAACAAATTAATAAATTAGTAAATTGCAGAGCTCACAGGTCTAATCGAATCAGAAAATCAAGCAGGGAACAAATCGATTAATCGATAATAAGACTTTTTCAAGTTATTTAAAAGCTTATCGAAATATAACATCGGATCAGAAAATCAACAAGGAAAAATAAACTTATCGATAGCTACAAGTTTTCAAATAAATTATGGAGTTCGCAGCTCTAATCCAATCAGAAAATCAACAAGGAACAAATCGATTAATCGATAACTCACAATTTTTAAATAATTGTGAATCCTATTGATATACTTTTAAGTTTGACTTTAACCTGTTTTACGATCGCTAATAATTATCATTGCTTGTTTATATTATTATAGGACAAAATAAAGTTAAAGCAGATTTAAAAATGTTTGAAAATTTGTAGCTATCGCTGCATCGATTGATCGATATTTAACTTGTTGATTTTCTTACACGATTGAAAATTTGATGTTCATTTCGAACTAGCAAATCTTGAGGGGTAAATAACTGAGAGCCTAGCCTTAGACTGGGCTACATATAAGTATGTTGACGACGTTTTGCTGTCTTTCAACTGCGCTGAGATTAGCCAATGCCAGTTGTTGTCGCTGTTGTTGTTGCTGTCTTTGTTGCCTCTTCTGCCGCACTTTCAGCTGGCCAATTGTTTTTTGTGTTTTTGCTGTCTGCCAGCCAACTGCGACTGTTGGCCAAGTTGCGTCGTTGCGGTGATTGTTGCGCCGCTTTTGTTGCTGTTGCTTTTGCTGTTGTTGTTGCTGCTGCTGCTGGCAGTTGGTCAATAATTGGCATAGATTTATTTCGGCTCGTTTTGGCCAATTTTCCCCCGAAATGCGAGCGCATAATTTTCCTGGGTTAGCTGCCAAGGGGCGCAGCTGATCTATTGTCTAACGTATGTGCAATATGTGTAACTTATATATATATAGGGAAACTTACCCACATCGCTGGCGCTCAAAATTTCAGCCGAATTGCCTGGCATTTGGCTTTCGCTGACAGCAGTTGCCGTCGAAGTTGCTGTTGCAGTGTCTGTCCCCTGCTGCTGCTGCTGCTGCTGTCTAATTGCAGCATTTGTTGCACTCGTTTGCGATTCGCTGGCGACAGTCGCGGCAGCCTCTGCCAGCAGCAACAACAATGACAGCAGCAACATGAACGATCCGCAACGCCAAAATGATTCATTGCTTCGATGAATTTTCATCAACGACATCGTAACCGAAGCATATACCAAAAAAAAAAACAGAGTAGTTTATATATAGGTTGCCCGTTGGTAGTTGCTCTGTTTTGTTGCCGCTTTTGCTGATTTTCTATCTAGTTTCTATTGTTCGTTTGCACACTTTTCCACAATTGTTTGTAGCCGAAGCTGCGTTGCAATATGTGCGTCTTGCGGTTGCCGTTGCAGTTGCAGTTGCAGTTGCAGTTGCAGTGACTGCTGCTTCTTCTTCCTCTTCCTCCTGCTGCTGCTGCTGCTGCAGTTGCGTGCAATAATTCAAGTCTTGCTGGCGACTTATCTGTGCTGCTGCCTTGGGAAATCGTACGCCTTGCTGTTGCTGCAAAAGTCGGAAACGAGAAAGAGAATTTAAATTAGTGAAAATCGAGCGATTTGTAATGTAATCTATTCCCCCAACTGATGCTTACCCGCTTCAAACTAAGCCACATGCATTGACATTTGCGGATTTCAAGAGAATAGCAGCTAATTATCTAGATATTAGCTTACAGCCAGTCCACACTCATGGATGAAAGCTTGAGTTTTCAGTAGAATTCAAATTAGCGAAACTCTTGCTACATAACTTATCTATTTAATGTCTGAATTTGAGTTGTGGATTGTGAGTCGTGAGAGTAGCTTAAACTTATGTGCATTAATAGTTGGGGATTTTAACTATTTTAGTGGAAAATTCTGTCTGTTGCTTAGATAAATTTGTCAATATTGGGGATTTACTTTGAATAATTACTTGAAATTTACAAAGAGAAAGATGTTTGCGAAATAAGTTTATCTTTTTATCGATATATATTCTACAATATCGATAAATATCGATTTTGGACTTGAATTTGGGTGCATACCTCGAAACCTAAAAGAGCTAGATCCTCCACGATTTGGTATGTAGACTTAAAGATCTAGATACAACAAGTTTAGTATGTAGACTAAGAGAGCTAGACACAAAAGTATGTAGTATGTAGAATATCGTATAATAAACACAGTTGGGGAATCTTCCACTTTTCGAATAACTTCGATACCCGAAAAAATTGACATAAGCCCAGTTTTATTGGTAAAGCTTTGGGCTTTCATATGTAAACACTTTTTTATGCCAGAAAAATCTCAAAAAGAAAGAACTGTAAGCTACGAAGTTAACCAAGAACTCATCCGCCATAGGAATATTCGAAAGAGTTTATACAAATGAAAATCAAATCCGGCCAATGTCTATAAAAAGTAGCTGCAGATTTTTCATGTAAAAACCCTCAAGTCTATAAGCAGACATCATTTTACAAATAAGTTGAACAACAACTGGAAATTCAGTTATACATATATATTTATGGTATATGGATCTATGGCCGAGTGCAGATCCCTAGCCTTGCCGATCCATTGGCCATCGGAGCGTGGCATACATGAACACATCATTATAAGTCACATTAAGTAAGAGTGATAACTGAGGTCGGCTCAATAAATGTTAATAAAAAAACACGCATACGCCCAGTTGTGCATGGCGCTTGACAGTTGCGCTTGCCGTTTAAATAGGCATAAGCAACTATTCATCTACATATATATATATGTATATATATATCTATAAGCAAATCGTTTGGTTTATGGCAATGTGTGTCATTGCCTGTCGAGAAATCAATTAAAGCCAAAAACTACAACAACAATTTGTTGGCTTGCGCAAAATTACGTTGGCAATTTCACTCGATTTTTTTTTTGTTAAACAGTTTATAAAATGCAGCCGAATGGGTGCGCCACGCCCCGCCCCCTCTGGCTGGCCGCCCCCAACTTGCGTAATGTGTAATGGCAAAATTATAGAAATCTTTTTTGGCCAACAATAACCAATTGTCATGCAGATGTCGATGAGCCAAGAGCCAAGAGCCAAAAGAGAAGCGCCAAACATTAGCATTGGCCCAAAATTATGCGGCATTTCTATCTTTGGCCGCGCTTACATTAATCAAAGGCCTTTCACAACGCAGCCAAAGCATAGAACCCAAAGTTCAATGTACGGCCGAAAATGTTATTTCGGATGATTCGTTCGCTAGTTTGGCAGCTACTGTGATTAATTGTATGGAGCCAGAAAGCAGGATGCGTGTAAGAAGAATAAATACAAGAGATTTGCATGACAGATGAGCCGAAAGAAAACCCAAAAATCTCGAATTATTGTTGGCTAGCATATCATTTTTGCGCTTTGTTTATATTCATATTGTTATTATTAAATTTCAGCTGATTTTTTGCTCATTAATTTAACGAGAAAAAACTATATATATATATATAAATTATATTCGCAGTTTAATTATAAGAAAGCCATTGACTTTTTTTACATGGCCAGCGCGCGTTCTTGATTTTGTAGCTGATACCCTGTAGGCATTGAGCAGGATTTAGTGGGGTAGATGGGTAGCTGAGACATGTATATATGTAGATATATATTATGGCTTTAAGCCCAACAAACTTTTGCGTTGGCTCCAGCCAAGTTTCTTACTATTCAACGGAGCTATGCAATTAATCATAAATTTAATACCCATAAATTATATATAAATATATAAAATATATCATTTAAATGACGTGCATTGTGTCTTTAAAATTTTTAAAATATATTTTAGAACCTGGGCTCAAAACTGTGTAAAGCCAGCTTCAAGCATCTTAATGGAAGGCAGGAAGCTGGTTCGAAGCGCGAACCGAATCAACGACCATTTCTTTTGGCTTTGCAGAAATGATTAATCAAGTTAAAGCTTTGATTCTAAGTACACATATATATACAAATGTTACTTCCATATTATGAAAGTTAAATAAACAACAAAATTGATAGAAGGACTTAATTTAGCATTAATTTTGTAAACAAGCTCCACAGATGCAGGGCATCTTTTTGTCAAACAATCGTGACTTGCGCTCGCTTACTTGCTTTTTTCGGTAGTTTTTTTTTATTTTTGGATTTTCTTAATTTGTTTATAACATCAGCGTTCTAAACTTGAAAACATGCGCGCAATAAGTTTACAACAAGCGCGGACCCAAATGAGCTTAGACAATTTGGCTTTTGGCGCGGCAACTTTTGTCTCAAGTTTGGGTTCGGGACTGGCTAAGAAAAGAACTTGGCAGAGCTCGGAGCTCAATCAACGTCAAAGGCGAACAGAACAATTCTGAAGTGCCCGACAATTGGATGACTTTGAGTTTGAAGTACTTGAAGTGCTCCGCTGATTGTTAGCCTGATTGAAGAGCTCCAGAGCGGATGGCAAAGACATTTTGGCGGCGTGCGAAAGAATTTTACTTAATTCCAAGCTCATGACAAGAAAAAAAAAAAAGCAAATACAAATCAAAGCAAACGCCCACAAAGCATTTTTTTTTGCTGCTGTTGCTGCTGTTGTTAGTTTACATTTTATTTATATAAAGTGGCGTATATTTATCATCTAGTCGGACTGAAATGAGCTTATGCCTTTGTGCTGAACAATGGGCCGCAGCTGATTAAACATGCGAAATCGCGGAGCGACACGAACCGAGCACTTAAAATGTTTATTTAATATCAATACAATTTTATCAGCCAAACAGCATCTAAACACACAGCGAGTGTAAGCAAGCTGTTGTAATACCCTACCGATTGCCGAGGGAAAAGACTTTCAGCTCCGCTTGTCGATCATTAATTGTCAGCTGTTATCGATCGGTTAGAACTAGAAAATAGCCCGACGCAATAAATAAACTGAAATGTGTTTCGGCCAAACAAGACATCAGAGACATTCGAAAATAAACAGTAATTAATACATTTATAAGCAATAAACTAGTTGATCTATCAGCTTTCAAGTCGATCAATTTGCACAAGTCTTTATATATATACGACCTTTCTTTTGAGTCCAAAGTGAAGACTAAGACAGGGTTCTCATTCTCGATCTTCAAGTAGAGGAAAAGCAATTAAAAAGCAACATGTTAGGACGTCACGTCAGGAGCATGCGCAGCTTTAATATATGAGCGTTGAACCAGCAAAAGAGAGGTCGCCGGTTCAAGTCACGGGGAACACCGGGTTATTTATTTGAGGAAGCGATGAACTGGTTGCACAGTTTATTTTCAAACTCAAATGGATCAAATTGCAAAAAAAAATATATACAAAACAGTTTTCATAGAACTTTCCTTTTGGGTCCAAGGTAAAGACCAAGACGGAGTTTTCATCCTCGACCTTCAAGTGGAGGACAACCAAGTTTGTATAAAAGACACGCAAAAGTGTTCTATGAGAACGACACGTTATGAGCATGCGTGACTTTAATATATAAGCGTCGAACTGGCAAGCGGAAGGTCGCCAGTTCAAGTCAAGCGGTAATTTTAGATTTTTATATTTCTTTAATTTATTATTATTCATGAATTTGTTATAAAATAAAAACAAGACGACGGAAGACAGAATATTTATTATGAGCTTGGCGCATCGAATTGCTTCGAACTCCGTTTGCCCGGGCAACACCGGGTAATGTAGCCCAGTAAGCAATGAGCCAGTTGTTCTGTCAAATTTCAAACTCAAATAGTTCGAATTGCACATAAATTTGTAGCGCAGTGTAGCGAGGAATGTGCTGAGGTGAACACGAGGCGCATCTTTCGACTTTAATAGGCGCCAAGAATCTTAATGCTTACTAAATTATTAGAAAGCCAAGTAGCTTCAGATCTAGCCAGCTAGCTAATTATAGACAGCCAAGCCAACTGGCATATCTAATAGCGCCGACAAAGGTTGGCCGGCCAACAACAACAAGTTTCAATTAGCCAGCTCTCGGCTTAGCTTCCTCTCCGTGTCAGAGCTCGGCGCATTACAAAATATAGTTATTAAGCTCATAAGCACATCGGCAATTAGAGGAATACTTATATCTAGCATATGGCAGCTCACGACACACACAATTTGTCAGCCATGAAGGTGAGTCCACCGTCTTAATTTTTTTTTTTTGGCATTAGTTTCGATTGTTTTTAATTCCAAGCCACGCATGACAAAATCGACATCAGATGTCGTCAACTTCCTTTCGTTGTTGTGTACGTAATAAAATAATTATGAAGAACAAATATTAATTTGCGACACACAAACTTAATAATATAAATAATGCAAACGGAGAGTATCCGAGTATCGTGCAATTCCCTCGCAACAATTGACCCTGAACCCCGCCGCCATCACGAGTCGCAGCGCACGTAAGAATGTTCCATTGTTATGTTTGCCTCCATGGAGAACTATAATTTGTATCGGATTTTTACACGTATCATTCTAATGAAATGCACACTTTCAGCTTGTCGAATGCCTTACATATGAATCACAGTTGACAAGCACCTTAACATGTTGTTAAACACGAATTCTTTTGCTTATGACAGGCTCTACTGAGATGCTTGTCAAAATATTCA